AACGTCCAAATTTTGATCATTTGATGGGGATGCTGCAACGGTCATAAGTCACTATTTCAATATTGTAACTTTGAATGCTCACTAAGAGTGGTTGTGTGTCCAGGATTACCAGTAAAAGAAAAAACTTAGAAACATTTTCTTCCTGGCAGTTCCAGTCAACCTGATATTATTCCAAATTTGGTAAGACCTAGTTGTGTAATGGGCAGAATGAATAACCTTTAGGAACAGAAGGAAGAGAGACTACTGAGACCACAGTCAGATACAGGCAGTTCTTGGTTTAAGTCCATGGTAACAAAGTTATGGTGGTTCTGAAAACATGGACATAAGACTACTGGAAGTTCAGGCCATTAGAGCATACCCCTGGGGCTTCTGATCGTAAGCCAGGATCCGGGTGCCCAGCTTATGATTACCATGTTGCAGGATGTTACAGTTATAATTGCCATCGGTGACCTTCCCTTTCCCACAATAAAGTCAATGGGAAAACCAGCATAGAAGGTTGCAAGTCACTCCAGTAAGTTGCTCCTGCCTTCAGACTCTGCCCAGGTGCAGCATCTGCTGGTCCTCACAGGCCTCTTCCAACTCATGTGTGACCTATGCCAGTCCTCTGATACATGCATGGCCTGCACACAGCCTCCCAAACTCTCCCCTCCTCTGCACAGCACATGTGGTGAGGTAATTTCTACTTAGAATCTTCTCATTTCAACACATTCTGGGAGACCAGCTGTGTTGGTTTATTTGCAGAATAAAGAAGCTGGCAACAGTTTGAACAGCAACATATTCTGCAAGTATGACAAAACCTAAATTCATATGTTAAGATGGTCACAGGTATATTGATTAAGATGTCAGTAAGTAATGGGTGGATACACAAATACATACAACCACAAAGAACAAAATGACAAAATTGACTTATTTGATTAGGAAAAGTCAATAACTACTTTTGTTAGGGACTGGAAACCTTTCACCTTTTTGCTGAAAATGGAAAAAAATCCTGAGGCATAATGTAATCTTAGATAGGATAAAATATAAATGCCTTTATAACTGCTGTAAAAAAGATCAAAATCCTTCCTTCCTTCCCCTCCCTCCCTACAATATAATCAATATATAATGATGTATAAAATTAACATTAAAATCAGAATTAATTTAAGTTTTTAAATTATAAAAATATAATAAAAATCAAAAGATGAAAAATTCCAAGCTGGGAGTTAGCCCATGTTAATATAGGTGGTGGTGGTGGGTCTCATAGGGTAGTCAGCCCCACATTTGTGAGGAATCTGTCCCCCATGCGCATCCAGGTTTTGATCACTTTGCAGAAGGCCAAGAGATTGGGGGCTAAGCGCAGTTGTGTTCCACATTGCAGGAGCAGCAGCAGAGAAGCCCCTCTTCCTAGACCTGCTAGCCAAAGTTCTTTGACTGATGGGATCTGCAGTATACCTTCCCTGCTAGAATGAGCTTCCAAATATTTTTCAAAGGTAGCCCCATGTACAGCACATTGCAATAGTCTAATCGGGAGAAAACCAAAGCATGAGTAACCAAACAGAGAGTGACCAAACGGAGAGGAAGGGGGGTGACAATGTAGAATTGGGCAAAGGCTCTCCTGGCCACAGCTGCCACTTAACTCTTTGAGCAGGAACCATGAATCCAAGAGAATCCCCAAGTTATGCACCAGGTCTGTCTGGGGTAGTGCAACTCCATCCAGATCCAGGACCAAATATGATAAACTCCTGGATACAGAGGGTCCTACCCACAGAGACTGTCTTACCAGGGTTCAGTTGAAGTTTTGTTTCCCGTTCAGACCCTGACAGCCTCCAGGCACTGTGAAAGTACATCCACTGCATCATTCACTTCACCTGGGACAGAGATATACATCCGTGGTGATGGATGATCTCACCCAGTGGTTTCATGTAGACATTAAAAAGGAGAGGAACACTGAGCCCTGTGGGACCCCCAAAGGAGGGGCCATGAGCTGGACCTCTCACTCCCTATGAAAACTGATTGGGACCAGTGTTGGAGGAAGATGAACCAGCACAAAATTGTGCTACCCACGCCCAACTCCCAAAAGGATACCATGGTTGATGGTATCAAAAGCTGCTGAGAGATCAAAAAGAGTAAGGATGAATACACCACCTCCATTATGCTCAAGCCGCAGATCATCCATGAGTGTGACCAATGCAGTTTCAGGCCCATATCTGGGCCAGAAAATGGTCCAGATAATCTATTTTTTCTAGGGTCCTCTGGAATTGCAACTTTTTCACCCACCTTTCCCAGAAAGGGAAGGTGGGAAACTGGACAAAAATTTTCCAGCACAGTAGGGTCCAGCAATGGCTTCTTGAGTAGGGAGCAAATCAGACCTCTTTAAAGGGAACCAGAAACACCTCCTCCGACAAGGATGAATTCACCACCACTGTGACCCAACCATGTACTTTATTTTTCTTTCCCCTTTTCTTTAACTTGGTAGTGTTTTATTCTGTAAAAAATACTTTAATAAAAATTAGTTTTAAAAAAATGATAAAAAAAAACAAGGAAACAAAATTAACTCCCCAAGCAACAGTAATGAAACCAGCTTTCCATTGTAAAAAAAACACATAACAGTTGAGATTACTAAGTGGAAAATCAGCTATTTGCTTAGCAACAATTACATTCTGTAGACACAGTCCGAGAGTTCATCAAGGTATCCATGAATATGATTTATATTTTTAAAAATTGGAAATTGTCATCCACATATAGTCCACCCCCTTTTTATACCCTTGGTAGTTGAAAATGATTTCTTAAAAATCATTTATGATAGAAGTAATAATGATCTAGAAACATCTACTGGATTTACAGAGATCTAACAAGAGCCACAAGTATTAGGGAAATTGCCAGTTTTGGAAAACAGAACATGCTACATTTAAAACCAAATAAGCTGCTTCCATAGATAGAGGCTGGCAGTTATATTAATAAATATTTGCCTTTTAAAAGTCTTCTGTGGATCCAGATATATGCTTTAAGTCATATAGTTTATTTTTCTTTCTGTTGGCATCCATGTGCCTTTTGAGCACTTATTTCCTTAATGGATTTGAAAATTCCGTTGCCCTAGAATTGGCAAAAATCCATGTCCTATTTCTATATAAAGGGTGCTTGTTTTTAAAATAATAATTCATAGCCAAGGAACTAAAACTGAAACAAACAGAATCTTGTACTGCTGAATTTTTAGGGAATGTTCTTATTGTATGCTGTCAATCTACATCATCAAAAAAGAAATAAAAAGAAAACACTAGGAATTTTTTGGTGCCTCGATTACTATATTATTCAATTGAATTGCATCTATTGCTGTTGTACTGTTACAAACTAGGCCCATGGTGGCAAACCCATGGCACGCGTCCCACAGGTGGCACACAGAGCCCTCTGTGGGCACACGCGCCATCGCTCCAGTCCTAGGCCTTCAGCTGGGTTTTATAAAACCTTTTCGCTTTAGGCCTCTGCCGCCATGTGCAAAAAAAAATCAATCAATTTCAACTTCTCGCGGGGAAAAAAAAGATCTCACCAAATTGGAATTGATTGATTGAACTTTTTAGTCCAACCCAGTCTGCCGTTACCACGGCAGCCACGCCCACCCAATGGGCCACACTCACTCAATGGGCCACGCCCACCCAGGACCCGACGATACATAAGTGGGTTTTGGGTTGCAGTTTGGGCATTCGGTCTCTAAAAGGTTCGCCATCCCTGACCTAGGCCATAGCACATTGGTTATATGTTTTAGGGTACTTTTAATATTCTAAATTAATTTGGCTGCCTTTCAAAATTTGTTTAACTTAAAGATGCACACAAATTACCACCTGCATTGTGAAACAGGTTTTTAATGAGTTTGGATTTTTGACCATAGTGTTCCCCATTTTCAGGAAACTACCCCCTCCACAGAATGCTTCCCAACTGAACAGAAATCTGAAGCTAAGGCAAGTTGAATATATGCAACAAGCTTTTGGATTTAATTTCATTAATCAGTTAAAATATAGGGAACTTACGTTTTTGTTTTTCCTAAATGAATCATTCATTACTTTGTTCAAAGGGCTTAAGATAAACCAGCAAGACAGGGGGAGGGGGAGTAAAAGTAGCAGGAATGTGACATTGCTATTTAAAAAGCTGCCTGGTTTTAATGCTGGTTCCAAGACCAGGTTTGGGTTCACAATCTGGAATCTTTTCTCGGTAATAATGGTATTTTTTAGATACATCCCCTTCCCAAAGGCTGATGTTCTGAGATGTAAATACTTAAATCTTATTCTGATAAACTGTTATTTTGTTGATAGCAGGAAGATAGCAGCTCAGTTGTGAGTCATCGAACAAGGCACAAGTGAGAATTCACATATCACGATAAACTCTGAAAAATAGTTTATAAACTATAATTGCTAAAATTAACTGTTAAAACTAAGCAAACAAGTTTTCTATTCAGATCAAACGTGATAGTAACTGATTTAGCTTATCAGCTGATACTGGATCAAATTTAAAATATAAATAATGGAACTATGCAATCTGGTAGGTTCTTTCTATTTAAGAAAAGGCCACTGATGAGCTTCACTTCAAGTCCCTACCCAGCTTCAAATTAATTTCTTATATATTTTTTCGTTCAAAACATTGAGTGTAGTTGATGTATTATTTCAGTTATTATATATTACAAATTTTACAATGCATGCCTATAATGAAATTGATTCTCTTGAAAGATATCTGCTTAAGCAGAATATTCTAAATAACAACTTTATTTTTATATTAAGTCCTGTAATCCAAACTTGGTTTTTTTTTAATCTTCATATTCTGGTTAACTTCTTGTATACAGAGATTTTGAATGACAACCTGTTTATCTTACACAAAGTATACTATTCCTGTTCTTTAAAAAAAATAACAGATTTAAGAAATCAGAGCAAGCATGTTCATTAGCGATTTTTCTTTTGGAAATTTAATATCGAAATCATTTATTGGCATCTCTGTTGTAGCACATTCTTCAAAGAGATTCTTAGGATGTCAGCTGGTGAAACTATCATTTTGTTCTTGCTAGTTAAACATGCTGTGCAGATTCAGTGAATGATATGCATGAATTACTAGAATATTATCCTAATAATGAACCTCTTTGCAGATCCATTGATACACAAACTGGAAATATTCTAATCCTATAGCTTGGGCTTCTCACCACAGAAAAGTACTATCTGATGTAAGGGATGGCTTAAAAATGGTACTGATGTTTAGTTTCTTGAATTGTATGTAAATATTCTATAATCAGAGACATATCCTAAGCTATTTTTAACAGTTACAGAGTTATCACAGCAGGGTATTCTTGGGTCAATCAGACAGAAAATATGAAAGAAAGAAAAGAAAAGCTGCAGGCCAAAACAGTGCTCATGCTAAGAAAAAGGCAATTCATGTTTAGTTCCAAATCAAGCAAAACAATCAGAAATAGATTTCCTAGAAAAAGATATGTACATTTTTTTTGCAAGATTTAGCCAAGGTTTTTTTTTTTAAAAAAGAAACACATAATATAGGCACTACATTAAAAAATTAAAATTTTGACCTTTAAATCTATGCATTGTACAAGCACAGACACTTTATTTTAACAGCACATCTTTTGGTGATTTATGTTGGTGTGAGTGTTCATGAAGTAAATGAGAAATTCGTATATGTTTTTAAAATGGATATGAAAAAAGCCATTTATGCCTTTCACTGTAAATAAGCCAGAACAGCTTCACACTGCAAAAGGGTCACATATTGAAAGTCAAACGAAGCCTACAAACATACATTAAAAAAGAAAGGACAAGTTATATAGAACATGCTGACAAATTAAAATTCAGTTTCAACCCTGTTCCTTATAAATGTAACCCTGCCAAACATTCGTATATATTACAAGTAGACTCCAGATAGAGATTTGCATCCATTGACAGTAAGGCTTTCAAGATATATGAAGTTTTATAGCATTTGTATTTTAAGGATTTAGGGCAAGTACATGGTTTTTTCTACTAAATAAAAAGTTATTAGTACTTAAAAGGTTCAAAAATATATCAAGTGATTTTTTTACATAAATAAATTATATTGATTTTGGATTTAACAGCTGAAAAAATCCTCTTTGCTTCCATTGGAGGCAAAGCTGAACAAAATGTTAGTCAAACAGAGATAGCAGCACTTCTAAGAAATCTGTCAATAGCCATACAGTATCTGTCCTATACAGCTGTATTGAATAGGGTCTATAATATTATCCAATTGTTCTGCAACAGTGTAACCAAATTGTGTAATTTGTTGATATTGATTCTAACCCAATAGTATAAATTCACTGCAACATGCAGCCTTAATTTTAATTCATGGGTAACAGACTTCTTTGAGATGCTAAATTTAACATGTACACACTTTAAAATCCCAAATGTATAAAAGACAATGAAAAAGCATCATAAATAAATAATGCAAACTGAAATAGTTATGTCAAAAACATTTGGACCATCTGATAAATTAGCAAACGGTAAAAGGGAAAAAAATAAAAAAATACAGTAAATTGTGACAAACCAAGTGTGAAACTGAATACTAGCATACACTCCCAAGCCCCTTTAAATGGTCTGCCATTTAAACATCGCACCACTTTGTTTTTCAAGTCTCAAATCACGAGCTATAAATTAGAACAAGCCCAAGTGAAAGAAAAGTGACACAGGAGTGGGAATAAAGATAACTATATAAAAACTGCTTTTAGGTGCAATTCAACATTGAAAATTGGCATATGTTTTTAAACAGTTTCATTTAAAACACAAAATGTATATGCAGAGATGCTGGGAAATATCATTTAAGAGAGCAAGGGCTCAAGAGGAATGGAAAGAAATAGCAAAAATGTTTTCACAGTCTGATAAAGAAATGAAGGATAAAGCCAAGTTATGAAACTTTGACAATCCCTGTCAAAGGTCAACTCTAATGGAAAAATCCATTCCACAGCTTTTAAAAAAATCAGTTTTCAAAGTTTTCACGAAGACAGAAAAAAATGATAAAACTTAGGTCCAGTTCCCACTTAAGAAAATTTCATTGCTTTCTTCTTCCCTGGGGGAAAAATGCCAAGTGCCTTTGTGAGAAATGAGTAGTACAAAGTTGAAAAAATAATTGGTAGTTACTATAACCCTCTTCATGCCACTGTGTTTTTTTTAATAAAGGTAAATTGTGCATAAATTTCTCAGCAGGAGCTGAAATGGGCTTGGTATCTAAACAAAAAAAGCTGAAATGCACTTTAAACATAAAACAAGATTTTCTTTTAGAAATATAAAAGTTAAGTAATCTTTCCCCTTACAGCAGTTTGTTTCCAAAACTTTGTAGTGTGAACAGGAAGAAATTATATATCTACTATTAATGCCTTAAAAAAAGAAATGAATATATGCATTTCAATCATTAGTTATATACTTCTGTCTATACTACTATTCTAGTAAACATGATAAAATAGGGAAATACTTTAAATCAAAAAATACACATTAGCACTTACTATAGCTGTGCTTTTTACTCCAAAATACAAGATTTGTTTTTTTTTTTAAATTCAGTGTCATTGTAAAAACATCAACCTTTTCCTGTGTTCTTCTATGGTTTTCTCTAAAAGAAGCACTTTCTTTTACCAGTTTTTTTTCTTTTACACAAGCAAGCGGTTTTGGGAATGACCACATACTTACTTATTATTTGGAAGAAGGGAGGGATGACCAGTTTTGGAGATGATCGGATACTTTACTACTGTTTGAAAGAAGGGAGGGGTGAATAGTGGACAAATGAACCAGAATTCTGTTCCTCCCACACTAATGTTAGAACACTGCTTATTTCTATGGCAAGACCTTGCAACTATTAAAATGTCACCATAGTTTTCTTACCAGAATTAGGTAGATAATATTACTTACAGAAACACAGTTTTTATGAAGGTAAAGTGGGGACAAAGAGCAATAACAAATATTTATGGGATGAGAAACAAGCCACAATATATTTTTTTCAGAAAAAAAAACAAAAAAAAATCTAACTGATATCTTTAATTTCTTTTAACTCCTCTTCCTCCTCCTCTGCTGGTACATCACGTTCATGCTCCATTGACACATATGGTATTTGTTCTGTACAGTTTTGCTTGTTAGCATGTTCCTTGTCAGACAGTGAGAGCATTTCTGGGTCCACATTTGCTAATTCCCCTTTAGTTTTCTTTTTTTTTCTTTTCTGACTTTCTAGGTTTGTTGCCTCTGAAAGTCTGGTTTGTTGAAGACCTGGCAAGGCCATACCAATACCAGGAGAAAGAAACATTGAGGGATATATCAGTCCAGATGACATTCCAGGAATAAGAAATGGGTTAAAGGCTACAGGACTACTGGTTGTTATTGCAGGTTCTGACTGATCAGAAAATGAATTAGGACTCAATTTGTCTTCAGAAACAGTTTCTATTTTTGAACCTTGGGTATTTTGTTTGTCTTCAGTTTCATTTTCTGAATGCGTTGTACCACTTTTAGTTGTGCTTGCTAATGAAGTTGGAGCAGTTGAAGTACAAGTAGTAGCTATTGATGGATTAAGAAGTCCTCCAACACCAAACATCTGTGGTACAGCAGCCATCCCTGGTAACATCATTGGCAACATGCTCAGAGTACTTTTAACATCCTCACCAGCAGGTACTGCTGCAAATCCAGCAGGAAAGCCAACCAGTCCAGTCAAAGGAATGCCTTGCATGTTTCTCATACTCTGAAGTCCTACTAAATCCATTCCAGCTATAAGTCCATTCATGAATAATGGTCCCATTCCAGACGAAGCATCTGCTCCTATTCCCGGAGCTTTAAAGAGGTCACTTCTTGGCCTTCTTCCTCTTCGTCGAGGTCCAACGTCTCTGAGTACGGGTTCAGTGAGAATACGATTAAACTTGCTTTCAGGTAAAAAACCCTGAGATATGAAAAACAAAACAAAATTTCCACAAGTTATTGCTATGAAACTCTGAGCTTAACAAGTATCTTACCTGTATTTCCTAAAGGAATACATTCTCAAGTATCATTCTGTGTTACTCAGAATTATGGGCAATGTGGAGACTTTCATAAAGACAAAACTATTTGCACAGAAATATGATCCTGGATTTTGTAGGTAAAGCTATGTATTTATTTAAAAGTTGTCAATGTCCCCTAAAATATAGTAATTTTTAATATATGCAAAATACTTTTGGATTAGGAAAGCAGTCTTTCTAATGCAGGATCCTTTCACACAATGGTCAATGGCATGCATAACTACTCAGAGTTGCCCACTGAGTTAAACAGAATTTATTACTAAGTAAGTGGACTTGGAACTTCAGCCTCAACTATTTTATTGTAGATTATACTCAATAATATTGGAATGCTATTCATTCTCTCTCTTACACACTCATTTCAAGAAGAATCTAAATCTTTTTAAAAATATTGTATTCTTATCCAAAAGTTAGCAAAAAATACTATTGCAGTCATTATAAAACACTGAGATTACTGTGAGGGTACTTTAAGAATGAAATCCTGAATAGAAGGAATTGTATGAATCATAGAACCCTTTCTCAATGAAATCCAAAGAGTTTAGTGAGGAAAAGAAATAATCAAGTTATTACTGCATGCTATTTTGGCTGACTGTTCATACAAATGAAACATCAGTGCAAGAAAGGTAGTTTGACAGGGGGTTTGAGCTATGTGTCTAAATAAAAAGGACTGGCTAAGGCATAATGTGATATATTTGCATTTTGGCTTAACATGTTGTATGAAACCAAGTATTACGATTTGTAAATTTGATTTGTGGGTTAACATAATGTATAAACTCAGTGGTGGCTAATTCAAATGATCAGTGGTTAAAATAAATGTGACTTAAGTCAATCTGTCAACTTGGCCATACAGTTTATCTCATATTTAATTATACCTCAGGGATATAATAAAAATACTATTACAGTTGCATATATTAGAAACTCTTCTACTTGTCCATGAAAATAGAAGGGTAGGGAAAAGAAGCAAAAACAGAAAAATGTTAATTGACTGTACAAACTTATCACTGTGCTGAAAAAAGTGACTCATGACTGGTCTTTGCACTTAATATTGTCAGCATCCCAGTGGTCACATGATCATAATTCAGGCGCTTGGCAACCAGCATGTATTTACAGTGGTTGCAGCATCCTGGGATCACATATTCACCGTTTGCAAGCTTCCAAACTGGCTTCCGACAGGCAGGCAGTGGATTCACTTAATGACCACATTCCATGGTGGATTCACTTAATGACTGCAGCAAAAAAAGGTTTCTTAAATAGGGTGCAATTGCGTGATGAGTCATTTAATGACTGCATTGCTTAGTGGCAGAAGTTCTAATCCCAATTCTGGCCGTAAATCAAGGAATATCGGCAATGGCAGAGATTTTCCCAAATACTTTTACTTACTGAAAGCTTAACTATGTCACACCAGTCTGCTGCAACAGCATATTCCATGTTTGCATCAAGCCACCTTGGTAACTCCTTCAAAGCTGGCGCCATGGCTCCCCCTAACTGCAAAACACAGTAAAAGAATGACCTCTTTTGCATACAACTTCTAAGCCACGCAATTAAGCATTTAACTATTTAGCTCTCCACTTATTTTTCAATTGCTCATTTCTTGTCTTTTTAAAAAGAAAGATTCACTTATTTTATGCTGTTAATACCTATACAAGAAAATAAATATCTACTTTCCCAGCTTACTCTGTACTAATGAATGCCACAATGGGGGGAGACCCTTTAAACAGAAAGAAGAAACATAATTTAGTTGATACAGTATTTTAAGCAAATATCCTTACAGAGGAGGGGCAACTAGAATTTGTTCTTCCTCAGGAAACTTTAGAGAGGCAGAAATAGAAAAATCCTAATCATGTACAGAAGACAATTTAAAACTAAACTGAACTTTTACAAAGATTTTCTAGAGCTGTCTGTTCTTAACTCAGTTGTTCTACAAAGAATTTTCTACCTTTCTTTTACTCGGAAGGAACCTATTGATATAAAATAAATAGAGTAAATATCATGTATTTACTAACCAATATGAACTCAAAAATGTGATGAGAAGATTGCCATGTGGTAGAGACAAATTTCAAGATGACAGAATCTAGCTTATATGTGCTTTTCTAAGATTATAACATGAGAATAGGTAGTATAAATCTCCACCTAATTAATGCTTGTATCTCTATTTCATTCCTGCATTACATTTTGGAGAAAACACTTTAATACTGCCTATTTTCTCAGCTAACAAATTTAATCAGCAAATAACTGTAGCCTGACATATAATACAGCTAACTAAACTTTCCAGTTTTTAAAAATCGATTTGCTGAACTGTCACAGTTCCAACCTCAGGTTATCTTTCCTTAGCAGTTTTTTAATATCAGATTATCTTTCCTTAGCAGTTCCCAACTTCAAAAAGAAAGGAGTCTACAGTTTAAACACCAGGCCAAGATTTTTACAAGAAGTATATATACTTGGAGATGAGGACACTTATACTTAAATAATTCCAATGCTATTCCTTTTGCATATGCAGTTCAAATGCATAAAGCGCAGGACAGGATTTTAATGAAGAAATAAAGGACAAATTTTAGAATTTGCATTTCCTTCTCTAAAAGGAAATGGACTGATGAAGACCCAGATCAAATGTCCAGATTGTGGACTGACTGACTGACTGATTGATTGATTGATTGATTAGAATGGTATGATGTTAAATAAAAGCAGAAAAAGCTGTACTGGCTAAAGCCAAAGACCACATTATTTGTAAGAATGCTTCCACTTACCCTCCGCCCTGTGCCCTTGTGCACCACAGGCACCCGTTCCTCTCCAGTGAGAGAATTTATGTCTAACTTGCTAGGATCTTTACAACGCTGCCTTCTCTGTTTAGGCTTTTCTGAAAAATTCTGAAAGAACAAAAAAAAAGAATAAGTATAGGTGAATCTCAAATAATATTGTCCAGCACTGGAATACAAAACTTGCACTTACTGTGCCAAAGCCAGGGATTTCGAGAGTATAATCAGACTGCTGTCTCAGCCAATCCAGAAGACTCTTGTTTGGAACAATCTTATCTGTCTGGACATTAGTAGCGGGAACTGTCTGTTGACTTGAGGTAGTTATGACTGGCCCATCTGAATTAGAATTACTTGTTATGGTCTGACCTTCATCTTCCTGAACAATATGAGGAGAAACAGAGAAAAAGACATGCTTCAGATATAAATTCTAATACTTTACATTTGCATATATGTAGATTTTACTGCATAAATTACAATTGCTTGTAAGGAAAGAGGGAATTAATTTTTCAAATTTCAGGTTTATCATTATTTTATCTGGGTTAGTGATTGACAACAGAAACTTTCAGAACTTAGCTCTTCTCTGGCTTCAACTTAAGTGCTATTATTTGATCCCACTAAAGCCTCAGCAAATATTAGGATCCCTGACTGTTCTTAGATTTATTCTATTACTTGCTCTTAATGTGATAAGACACATTTCAAAAATATTGAATTGCATTAGTGCATTTAATGGACTTAATATTTAAAGGAAGAAATCTACAGAATAGGAATATGCAGTAGCAGCTGAGAAAGAAAGGAATGTCTGGGGAAGATGGGAATAAGATAGATACAGATCTTTCCTGGCTACACTGGAATCTATCAAGACACTGAGAATGGAAGACATTTCACACGTGAGGAATGGCCAAAAGATTTACTACACTTTAATATTGCTATGTGTTGCTTGTCAATAATTAGGTTAAACTTGATTTGCTTATAATAAAATTTTCTAGTCTTTTAAAAGATTTAATATATCACATTACAATAATACAGTATATGATTGTTTTCTTTATGTTAATTACTAATTACTATCTGACGTATCCTCCTGTTTTAGCTATGTGGGTATTGTGATGATCAGAAAGTATATTAAAAGAGGAGAAAATAATTCACATGGTTCAGGTACAAGACTAAATCCATTAAAACTAAACCTCTAGAACCATTTGCCAGGAAAGCCTGGTAAAAAAATCAGAAGTTCACTTCAGTCAGCAGCAGCTAACAACAGCTTATGGCTGTTATATGTTAGAGAAGATGCCACTAGACATTTTCTGATTTTTTGATAACATACATCTAACATAGCTGTCCTCCTACAGAAAAGCCTGGGAAATTCAAACTTCAAGTAACTAATCAAAAGCAGGCAAATGCTGCCACTTCAGGTGAATTCCTAAAAGAAAGCAGTCCCACTCCATTAGGTTTTGTTCTTTTGCCTTCATTCCAGGAAGAGATGCCTCAGTTAAGTAAAAAATATCCTCCAATCTGCAGAAGGATTGGAGAATTGGAAGGAAATCACCATCTAGAAAAAAATTGAACTAAATGAAAATTAGGCTCGGCTGAAAATAGTGTAACATGGATTAATGTGAGCTGTTTCCCTGTATCTTAATCTTATTTTGCACTGAGAATGTGTCTAGATTCATGTCTGGAGATTAGCTGTGAATTAAAGTCGGATTCATGAGATTTTACTTTCCTCCATTGTCCCAAATTCTCATTTAGATGCTTAACCTTGATCTACACAATCGTATCTTCTGAAATCAGTAGTCTCATTCTGATGGCAAATTTAGCTTACATTTCAGCCAGTCCACTACCCACAGAAAAGGCAAGAAAGCTGGAAGCAAAAGAAATTTTTCCAACTGTATTCCTCCCAAATTTTTACATAGAGTAATTTTCTCTGTAAAGAGAGAGGGGTGACAGTGGCCAAAAGTACTGTCTCCACATCCAGGATTGTGAAAGAGTGCAACAGTAGGGATTATGGGACAGGGGCTTGGGATCACTGATTCAGGAAGCTAGAAGGGTTTAGTTGTTTACCATGATGGATTTTTTAAAACTGTTGCTAGTGAGCTTGTCTTTCTGCCCAGTCTAGGCCTCCAAAGCAGCTTTCAACAATCATAGTCAGAAGGTTTCCACAGGCTGTAACAAGTGCCCACTGGGAGTTAGGTCCATTGTCCAAATAAAAGTGAAAATGACAAATATGGGGATTTGTACTCACGGGCAGCCCTGCCTGGAGGTTTCTCTCCTTCAAAAGTATCAGGTCAATCCCTTCCACATTTTTTCTCCTACCCCGCCGTCTTCTGATAGCAGCATCATCTCTTCGTAAGCTTCCATTGACAATCTGTCCCGTGACAGGATGAATTAGCCCTGCTTGAAGGATTCCAGACAAGTCCATGCCAAGGGAGCCCTGCAGAGCATTCACTGCCCCTATCTTAGGTATATTTGTGCTCATGGAAAATGGAGTGCTGCTTCCTGAAGTTCCATCTGGCACTCTTGAGAGATCTACTGCATCCCGCCAGCCATTTAATACAGCTGAAGTATGGGAGTGGGATGCTACAAGCTGATCAAGACTCCGGTGCTTGGTATCTCTCTCCATTTCAAATTCATATGATTGCCGGTGCTTCGATTCATCTTTGACAAAGGTGGGAGCCAGAAAAGTTTCCTATGGTTAAAACCAGAGCCAGAAAAGTCACTTTTTATGAATAGTGATATACAGAATGTATAGCTACAGAATCTATAGCACCCCTTTACAAAAGGGATGCTCCATGCCCATAACAGTTAGAAAAGTTGACTGCTGCTCCTCCATCATTGCCTCCTTTGCTGAAAATATTAATAACATTGTCTTGAAGAAAGCAACAATCTCTCCTAGAGTGGTAGTGTCACATTCAAATTTAATTTAAATTAAAAGCAGAATTAACATAGTCTTCATCTTATATTTTCCCAGCATATTGAAGGAACTCTCATACAATTTTTTTCTACGAACATCAAAGAGATGCAACTTCCCACTAAAGAATTATATCACTAACTGGATATTTGGACCACTAACAATAATCAATAACTAATGTGAATGAGGTCTCTCTGGGAGTCCACATTAATGGTCTTCATCGTCTGCCACAGAACCTTGATACACCAAATATATCAGTACATAATAAAGTACAATGAAACAGAAAATATGCAATAGTTTTCTCTATAGGAACAGAAGTCTACAATATGATACAAATAACTTTTAATAGAATGAATATCCAAGCTTACCTTTGGGAGCTGTGTAGCTAACACTCCATTGCTAAAACTGGATTCTGAGACTTCTGGTTCGGTATAGCCACTCCTATTGCAAGTACTGCTGACTAAGGCAGGAGTGGACATCATATATGGTATGTCAAAAGACTGACTGGAAGAAGGCCACTTTCCCTTTAAAATTGCATGACAGATGTTGTCAATACGGTTAATGATCACTCGATCCTGCCAAAGAATAGATATTCTTTGTTTAGTTGTATATGTTGGCATAGTCTCATAATGCTTGGGAAAACTAAAGTTAGTGAACAAATTCAACTTAGGACTCCTTTACGAATAGGACGATGAGAGATTGTTTGGGCTATATATTTACTATTCTGTTTATCAAGAATATTATCAGTCCCCAGGCTTGGGAATGCAGACACAAAGTTACAAATACAGTACCTACCATATCAAGAACCTCTGCATTAAATCCCTAAAAGACTGCACGTTAAAAAAATTATGGGATTATTGGTTTAGATCTATGAAGTATGTCAACAAGATAGGTTTCCCCAACATGATACTCCCTGGAACTGCATTTTAGGAAGAGGGAATCAAGCTGGGGAGGCAAATTAAAGAAAAGATGGTAGATACTATGAAGGAAGAATTGCCACAGAATCTTACTGATTAAATGGCCAATGATGAAATGAGATAAACATCTCTGTCTTTTTTAAAATATCTGCTGTAAAAAAGAAATTCGAAAGAGAAATGGCCCAGTCTTTATAAATATGTAAAACAAGGAACTAGTACTACATACATTCCCATAGGAAAAGAGCTGTAAGCTTGACTTTTTGACCCCCTCCAAAGGATGGCTTGCCATTAGAATCACACATACAAAACATTTTTACTTTGCATATTAAAACACAAAAATAGCTATAGAAAGTAACATTCATGTCTATCAAATACAGCATAATGTAAGTAGCATGACAGAAGAATGTTCATTTTACAGAAATTAATCTGAGCTACGTAGAAAACATTGTTAGTTTCTTATTAATTGGAAACTTCCTGTATGAAGTATAAATAAAAAAAGCAATCTGAGAAGCTTCACCCTAGAGAGACAGCCATTTTCTTCCACTCGTGTTAATTATATAGGCAGACAAGTGGGTTGGATGAGTCAGTCTCAATTGCTGATGAAATGATGTTCTACAAAGATTCTACTGTTAGAACAATCTATTCCTACAGTTTCTCAGAAAAGATGTCCTGATCAAGTTACCATATAGTTTTCAACTCTCTGTTTTATATGTGATAATTTGCAGCAAGGCTATTGTATATACAAAGATAGAAAATTACAGAAACACAAATAATGGCCAAATGGATTGTGAAGATGGCTGAGTTTGCAGAAATGGCTAAATTAATTACTTTGATTAAGAGAGGAACTTCAATTACTTTTTATAAAAGACTGGAAGCCCTTTATTGAGTTTTTGCTGAAAAACTGCCGATTTTGGGATTTATTGATTAAATAAATGGGAAGAAAGAACTATAATATCATACCAATAAAATTAACATTAAAATCAGAATTTAATATTTTTTTAATTATAAAAATAATATAAAAATTTCAAAAAATAAAAAAAAATTCCAAGATAGGGAGTTAGCAGTTGTTAATATAACTGGGTACAGTCATCCCCAAATTGGACCACTGCAATGCGCTCTACATGGGGCTACCCTTGAAATGTATCTGGAAACTTCAGCTGGTGCCGAATGTGGCTGTGCGAGCCACACTGGTTGCCCAAAGAAGGGCACATATAACACCTTTGCTGTGCAAACTGCATTGTTCAATTGCAGTTGCTTCTGGGTCCAATATAAGGTTAAGGCCAGGTTATCTATGGGCATGTTAAATTGTAAATTACACTTTATTATTACAATGACTAGATTCATATGTTGCATCAGGTCCAAGCCAAGATAAACCATTTTGTGAATAAATTAATGTCTGAGCTCCACCTTTTAAAATTCTACAAATATAGGTTTGTTTTGCCTTTTCTAATTTTTTGAGACAATATGACCAGAGACTGAGTCCTCTTCTTTTTTGACAAATGAGAGAAGAAAGTAAACTGTGGTTTATTTTAATTAGCAGTGGTGTGTGAACCAAGTTATTGTGGTTTCTGCAGCTTAGAATGATCTATGAATCCAGTCAACAATACAACCCTGAGAGGGCTGAAAACCCATTAAAATAAGTCCTCTTTTCTAATGAGGACACTTTTCCCCCCCTTGATTTATCTTCTTTTGAATATATTCCAAAAGACAAACCTAGCAAACAGTATAATTCCAGATACTGTTGATGTAAAAAAAACATCTTGAGAAGACATGGGACGTTGCTCTCAGTTCTTACTGACCATTGACCTTAATCCTTTATGTACGCATACTGAAACTACAAAGTCACCTTGGGCCACTCCGAGAAAGAGTAGAGTGTCTTCTCCTGTAAAAGTTGAGCTATGGTAGGTGCCCGAACATCATGAAGTTCATCATTCTCTCCAGGAACAGCAAATGCGGAGCTCTTACTTTCATCTTCAGAAAACTTCTCAAAGCCATCTAGAGTAAAAAACAAAATAAAACAGTAGATTAGTTAAAGGTTTGAAACTACTAAATTGATGACTTTCAACAAATGACTGAAATATACTTAGATGTCAATTGCAGTATTCACTGTTTCAGAGCTTCCTTCACTCCTAAAATAGCACTTAGACTTATATACCACTTCATAGTGCTTTACAGCTCTGAGCAGTTTACAGAGTCGGCATATTGCCCCTACCAATCTGGGCCCTCATTTTACTGACCTCAGAAGGATGGAGGGCTGAGTCAAATGGCAGAAAAATGGCTAAATATGGACTAGAACTTGAAATATAAAATAGATTACAGTTCTGAAACATTCCTGAAAAAAATAAAATATTCATCAGATTATTTACTGCTCAAATTTGACAACAGATTTCAGACACTGTAGCTAATAGCTAACTGAAAAACTAAGCATCAAACATTCAAACATCACACAGCAGAAAACATTCTGTAGAGAAAAAAATTCCTCCCAGTCTATGTCAGAGACTGGTAGACAATTATAAGAATCACCTACTTGAGCCTGTTTCTGCCAGAGGGGCAATATGAGATAGAGCCAAAGGCACAACTATTATTATTAAACAACAATATATTAAACTTCTATGCCACCCAATTTTCAACATCTGCAGGTGGCTCACGGCAATCAAAGAAATTACAGTAAAACCAATAAAATGTAAAAGAGAAAGATAAAAAATGGCAAGCACGACAGACTAGATGGAATGAAGTGAGGGGGTCTCATTTTTCTTCATCAATAAGTTGGGTGAAGACCCAGGTCTTCAAGGGGCAGAACTTGTTCCAGAGGACAGGTGCTGCTGTAGAAAAGGTGTGTTTCCTGGGGTCCCAATAGATGACTGTTTAATTGAAGATACCTGGAGTGTGCCAACTTTGCAGAATTAAACCAGTCGGGTAGAAGATATGGACCTTAAAGGAACCAGGCTCTATACCATTTAGGGCTTTGTACTTAACTTACTTTTAATTCAGAAGGAAATGGCATATCTGTTAATTTTTTGTTGGATAAATAATTGCAAAGTCATTTTTCATATTTTTCCCAATTACATTTTTATCTTTGTTTGAATGATGATTAAAATATTGATATGGCTACAAATGTTAAAAAAGGAAAAACTTTATATGGGGTGCGCTTACTTTTTCATGATTGCTTTAATTAATAACCTAAAGAGTTACAAGTCATTAGCACCGTTACATGGTTTTCTCATCCTTTTTTAAAATGGAGTAGAAAACTCCTTCTACTAGTCTCTATTTTTCTGTTTTAGATTATTTTAATTAACAATAAATGGGAAGTTGTCATGCCTCAAACTGTAAGCTGTAGCATCATCTTTATTGATATGAACATTTCTAGCCCAACATATTCCCAAATTGAAAAATTTAAAAAACTGAAATATTTCTTCACAATAATGTACCTTGATTTTGACTGATTCCATCCCTCTTCTCTAGGTCTTGGTGCTCACACTCTTCTTCTCTCTTCATTTCACTCTCATAAAGAGGTTGAGCAATAGGACTATCTCTCTTCTCCTCAGTATCATCTTCCCAGAGGTCTCCTACCATGCAAACTGGGTGTGACTTAAGGAGTTCCACTTGAATTGCTGAAGCCTGGGTTCTTGCAGAGTGGTGGTAGTGGTGGTGACAGGTCTGAATCTCCTGCAAGCCTGGGGTGTGCTCCTCAAGGCTTTCACATTCAGCTTGATCGTCCTCACCCATCCCAGGCTCACTATCACATTTGGATGCTGCCAGCTCACTTGAGACTGATTCAACTAGGACCTTATTCCTTTCCTCCATGAATGCATCCAGAGTGGTGAGAATACATGAATTGTGTTTCTGTTCCTCCTGTGTGCTACATTTGGCTTCTCTGCTATCTTTCACAATGTCAGTTGCTGCTTCCAGATGATCTTCCTCTTCCTCTTCTTCCTCCTCCTCCTCCTCTTCCTCTTCACTATGGCTTTGACTCTGCATTAATTTCTCCTCCAAACTCTTTTCCTGCAATAAGCCCATCAATCTCTTCTCAGGTTGTACTTTGATATCAAAATTATGAAGACTGGGACTATAGACCCCTATGCTCAGAACACTCTCCACACCATCTCTTTCAAATGGAACTGCTTTTGGGCTAATATACTGATTTTCCATATGCTGAAGGACATTACAGGTTTCCTGAGCAAAACTCTCAGAAGGCTTTGTCTCCTTCTCTGAAAGCTCCTGTCCTGTATTTTGACTTTCCAATTGATCACTGCCGAACTGCAAATGATCCAAGTAAGTGGATTCTCGTATGGTCTCAGCATCACAACTAGAGAGATCTTCATCCCCATCTGTTTTGCCCTCTGCCATTTTGGTAGCATTGCTGCTGATGTCTGTGCAGCTAGGGCTGTCACGAGCAAAAGAACTATGTTCACTGTTGCAGGCCTTTTCATCATACATTATGCATGACAAAGAATCAGGTAAAGAACTCTCATCGTAGTTAACAGAAATCATACTTCGGACCTTAGACATGAAATTTTCACAGCTGCCATCCTGAGAGGTGTTTTCTACCTGCAAAAGATCATTCCCTGAGTTCATTAGCTTAGCACAGTTATCTATTTCTGCCTCTGCTAACGCCTGCTTTCTTTCTACTTGATTATACAAAGGCGAGTAATATAGTTTAGAATTTGCTTGGTGGTGACAGCACAAGTGTTCTTCTCCAAGGACCCCTGTCCTTTTGTTCTGAGCATAATTTCTGTAGGCATCCAGAAACGATAACTGTGGATCATTCATTATGTAATAGTCTGTCCGGTTCAGCCCATGCTTAGCCGTACCAATTAGCAGGTCCCGATCATGTTTGCCACATTCCCACCACACAGGGAGGTATAGGCTTGGGCGGCAAAGTTTGAGCCTTTCATGTAACTGTGGACACCTCAACACTTGCTCACGGACCTTCCGTAAGAGTTCAATTCGATACAGCGTCTTTGCAGCACGTTCCTCTGTGATGGGTTCCACATAAATATTGGGATCTGTTGGGCCTACAGAAATAGAATAGAAAGGAACAATAGATAAAACCAAAATATAGGGAGGGAGGGAGGGAGGGAGGGAGGGAGGGAGGGAGAGGGAGAGGGAGAGGGAGAGAGATGCTATAGCAGAATAGTTTTAAATTAAATCAAAGTGAAATAAGTTTTCTGTGTCAGGATATCTAATAATTGATAATGACTCTGGTGTTCAAAGCTAATGCATAAGATGACAGTGAGGGAAAAAATGTTCAGAAAAAGGAAGATAGCTTACAACCTGGGATAGCAGCTATGTGTATATTGGGGCTATTACAGTCACACTAACCGAGACAAAGAGAGGACTACATCTGTTATGCATTATTTTGGAATAGTTTTGCCCTGTGAAATTACTCAAGCCCCTATATATAAATAAAAGCTTTCAGCTAATTGATAGTTATATCACTTTTCTAGGAGCACTATACCTGGAGATCTCCCTTTAATTTTATCTCCACAACAACAGCCCTGTGAAGCAGGTTATACTGAGAAAAAGTGACCACTCCAGAGGTGAGTTTCCTTGACTGAGAGTGGGCCTGAACCTCCTTGGTCATTACAATGCCTTTCAGTGATAAATGTTCTACTTGGATTTCATAGCTTTCAATCTGAAGATGAAACTACATTGGAATCCTTGAAATGGATGGAAAACATCTTTACAGCAAAAAAAGAGAAACACTTTGAAGACTAAAGATACTCAGAAGCCATGATAATTATAAGGGTATAAAGAATGGAAAGGAAAAAATCTTAAGCAGGAAACACTCAACAGCAACCCCTGAATGTTTCTTACTCACCATCATCTTTCCAGTGGGGCAACCGACAGACATTTTTACACATAGCAACAAAGTTATAGAAATATTTTTCTAAACTTTCATCAGTTTTCTTCTCCAAACGCGAAATGGATCGGAATTGAGTCCAATCAAAGACTTTCTTTTCTGGCTCATAAATGACCCCAAATGAGGAAACAGTACGATAGAAATCTGCTTGCTCTCTTCTGGTCCACCTGAAGAATGCATGAGGAATACAAATAAATATATCAAAACTGCATTTTCATCCCAATGATTTAATTATTATTACAGTATTTATTATATTTTTATACCATCACACTCCCAGAAATTCTTCCATGTTTGCAATTTGGAATTAATTTTGATTATGAAAGAACTCTGTGTTGAAAACAGCTCAGTACCAGCAATTATGAGGAACACAACCCTATCACAATCCATAGGGCAGTTTCTCAGTATAATCCCAGGTTTATTAAAACCTAAATACTTTTGACTCATTTCTTTAATTGGATTTTTGCTATCTAGTTCTAAGATTAGTATGGGGATTAGATCGTGTTTAGGTCATATTTATGCAGAAACATTGAAAATTCAAATGGGTTCACAAATATTAAGCATGACTGTAATCCTTGGACTTTCACCTGCCTCCAGAAGTGGTGAATGCTCCAACACTGGAAGTTTTTAAGAAGAGACTGGACAGCCGTTTGTCTGAAATGGTGTAGGGTTCCTGCCTGGGCAGGGGGTTGGACTAGATGATCTCCAAGGTCCCTTCCAACATCATCATCATCAT